GAGTTGTGAGACCGATGTAACCTAGAGCTCTGATACCAACTTGTCACGACCCGGATTTTCCACCCTTGGAATTCGTTATGGCGCCTACTAATGTGAGCTAGGCAAGTCAATCCATAACAGCTTACTTCATTAACAAATCACTTCTTTTAACGATTATCAGTGATAACATAAAAACAGTGGAATTTAGTAAATGTACAGAAGACTTAAATTAAAGAAACTGAACAATAATACGGAAATCAACATATGCCTCTACCCAAGAACTGGTGTCACATTACTCACGAACTTCTAAGAGTACTAAATATAACTGTTTGAAAGAAAAATACAAAATATTTGTCTCGAATACATGAGATAATAGACTAAAATAAAGAGAGAGGAGACGTCGGGCCTGCGGACGCTTGCAAGGCTACCTCGGTGTCTCACTGGACTGAAAGCTGGCTCCCGCACTACTGCTACTGTCCAAGACCTGGATCTATGCAAAAGAGCACAGAGTGTAGTATCAGCATAACTGACCTCTTGTGCTGGTAAGTGTCTGGCCTAACCCCGGCGAGATAGTGACGAGGCTAGGACCAAACTCCAGATAAACATGTGCAGTTATATACTATATGGCGGAAAAGTAAACAGGTAATAAGCAATCAAAGCTGGTAAAGGGGGAACATGCTCCGGGGGTAGCAGATAAAACAGAATACTAAAGAATAGTAAGGAAAAATAAGGCAACTTTCACTTTCATTTCCATCTTGTTGCAGGCATGCAACCCGATCCCATTTCTCATATCTTGTGGTAGGCGTACCACCCGCTCCCATTTCAGTATATCTTATGGTAGGCGTACCACCCGCTCTCATTTCATTATATCTCATGGTAGGCGTACCACCCGCTCCCATTTCATTATATCTCGTGGTAGGCGTACCACCCGCTCCCATTTCATTATATGTCGTGGTAGGCATACCACCTGCTCCCATTTCATTATATCTCGTGGTAGGCGTACCAAACACTCCTNATCATGTTAAAAGATGTTAAGGAGTGAACAAAATGAGTTAGAAATCACTTATCAACGTTTTGGAGAAGAAAGGTTATTTGAAAAATCGCCTTTTATGTTTTGGGGTTTTGAAAAAGTGAAAAAATAGCTCGTTTATTTATACCCCTCTCAGACCCACAGTGTGGACCGCATCAAATGGACCGCGGTCGCACAGCCTCTACCGCGGACCACACAAAGGCGACTGCGGCCGCGCTGGCCCCTCCCTGAAGACCTGCAGTTCAGCACCCTGGGCGGACCACACAAAGGCAACCGCGGCAGCGCTGGCCCCTCCGCGGTCGCACGCGATTTCTCGCGGACCGCACTAGAGGGTTAAGAGACTGCAACTTCCTAAACCTGCAACATCTGACTTTCTAAGCCTAAGGCATTCCGGAGCCTACTCGAAACTCACCCGAGCCCTCGAAACTCCAACCCAAGTATACACACAACCTCAAAAACATCTTACGAACATATTCGTGTACTTAAATGGCCAAAATAACATCACGAGCATCGAATTAAACCTCGAGATCAATAAAATTTCTTAAACTCTTTTAAACATCAAATTTCTCAATTAAGGTTCGGATCACGTCAAACGACGTCCGTTTTTAACCAAATTTCACAGGAATGACTCAAATCATATATAAGACCTGTACCGGGCGCCGGAACCAAAATACGGGCTCGATACAATTGCTTTCTAATCAGTTTTCACTTCAAATTTCCTTAAACAATTTCTGAAAACAATTTCACTTAAAAATTTATTTCTCGGGCTAGGGACCTCGGATTCCGATTCTGGGCATACGCTCAAGTCCCATATTTTCCTACGGACCCTCCGGGACCATCAAATCACGGGTCCGGGTTTGTTTACCCAAAATATTGACCGAAGTCAAATTTATTCATTTTAAAGTCAAGACTTAACATTTTTCACAGAATTTCATATTTAAGTTTTCCAGCTACGCGCCCGGACTGCGCACACAAATCGAAGCGACTCTAAATGAGGTTTTCAAGGCCTCGGAAGCACATAATGAGTAAAAAAACAGGTGATGACTCTTTGGATCGTCACAGGTTTGCAATTGCGAACCCCGACCTCTGCTAGGTTGGGAAATGTGAAAAGGGTCTCGCAATTGCGAGATAGGAATTGCGAAGACAGGGTCGCATTTGCGACTCAAGGCTGAACAGGGGAGTTTCACATTTGCTAAAGGAGCCTCGTATTTGCGAGACTGGAGTTGACCTAGGTTCCTTCGCAATTGCGATCAGCCACTCGCATGCGAAGCCTGTAGGCCTGCTATGCACAGCTGAAAATCTGGAATTTTTCTAAGTCCAAAATGCACCCCGTGGCCTATTCAAAACTCAGCCGAGCCCTCGGGGCTCCAAACCAAACATGCACACTACCTCAAAAATATCCTACGGACTTATTCGTATAATCAAATCACCAAAATAACATCATGAACATCGAATTAAACCTCAAGATCATTGAAATTTCTTAAAACTTCTTTAAACATCAAATTTTGCATTTAAGGTCCGAATCACGTCGAATGGATTCCGTTTCTTACCAAACTTTACCATCAATACATATAAATCATATTGAACCTGTACCGGGCTCCGGAACCATAACACGGGCCCAAAACCACAGGTTTCACATAACATTTCACTTTCAAAAACCTTTATATTTTATAGAAAATAATTTCTTTCAAAAATTCATTTCTCGGGCTTGGGACCTCGAAATTCGATTCCGGGCATAAGCCCAAGTCCCATGTTTTCCTACGGACCCTCCGGGACCGTCAAATCGCGGGTCCAGGTCCGTTTACCTAAAACGTTGACCGAAGTCAAATTAATTCATTTAATAATCAAAATTTATCATTTTAACCAACTTTCACACATAGGGTTTCCGGCTACACGTTAGGGCTGCGCACACAAATCGAGGTGATGCTAAAAGAGGTTTTTTAGGGTCTCGGAACATAGAATTTATTTTAAAAACAAGTGATGACCTAGGTCATCACACATAATGCATAAGTTATCTCAGCAACCTAGCTCTCAATTGAGGCAGTTTAATTTTATTTTTTCCTTTCTTTCCTTTTTTCACGATTGCTTGGAAATTTATCCCGTAGAATGCCTAAAAATTGTTTGGAGTACTATTTTTCCTTAGACTTAAAATTAATTGCAATGCTTAACTTCAAATTGCTTGAATTATGAAGCTCCAACCCTCCCTCATTTTTGCCCCTAAAATGGGGGATGAATAGTGTTCCCTCAAATATGGGAGTACACTATTCATCTCCCCAATTACTATTCTTCTATATTTTATTATTTAATCTTTTAATTTATCTCTCTATATATACCTAATTGTGTTTATATAATATCTTTATAATATTAATTTTACATCTTAACTTTGGCGTATAATTTTGATAAATTAATTTTCGTGCATTTATTTTTTTATGTAAAATTGTAAGTTAATTTTATTATAAGTTATATTTGTACAAAAAATATATAATCATCTCAAAGAATGAATGGTGCAAATATAAAATATTAGATGTTACTAAAATTGAAAGGTGCAAATATAAAATATTAGTTGTTGCTAAAATTGAAAAGTGAAAATTGAAAATACATTAAATGAAAATACATTAATCTATAATAGTATTTCGAATAAATTTTATCATTATGTAATATGTATTTAATTAATCTTGTATCACAGTGATTTCACTTTTAATTGAATTATTTGTTAATATATAATAATTGCTTACAAATTATATTATTTAAAATTTTATGGAATTATTTTAATGAAAATAAAAGATGGAATTTGTTTAATGAAAATTAATAAAATTGAAATGAAAGATAATAATATAATATAGAAGAGAGAGAAGAATATAAAAAAGTTTGAAGGAAAAAATGGGGGAATGGTTGGAGTAAGTTATCCCCAAAATGGGAAAATCTCCATTTTGGGGACCAAAAATGGGGTAAAGGTTGGAGATGTCCTTACTATTTCTCCTTAGGCTTAAATTTTATTGCACAACTTAACTTTCATAATATTCTCCCTTTCTCAAGATAAAATGCTTTTAAAAAAAATTATTAATCAATTGTGAGTACAATTTTGTGTGTTTCCTTAATCCTTCTCTTTGATTGTTTTTTGTGATTTGAGGGCTAGAGCAGCGTGTTTCTATACAATCCTGTTTGTTTCCTTAATCTTCTCTTTGATTGTTTTCGCGATTTGAGGGCTAGAGCAGCGTGTTTCTCAAACGTATAATAATGCGGATCTTAGTGGACATATTTGATCTCCATGAAAGTCAGACAGTATTTCGAGTTGGTAATGAGGAATAACATCTCTTGATTATTTCCGCTTTAAGAAAGACAATATTTGATGTCTTGAGCTCTTTGTAAATATCCCAAAGATTTTATGGGATTTTTGAGATAGCTAAAAAACTTTATTTCGCTGATCTAGCATCAATTTAATTAGACCATGTTACAACAATAACAATGATATCTCAATCCTGAGCTGACTAAAAGCACCATCTTTTAGGTCTAATTAGCCATTTATAGATACCTTTTGTTATATTACGTGTTATAGATACCTTTTATGTTTTTATACAATGTATTTGGTGTATTTAAGCTATTGTATTCATTAATACAATAGAAAAAATAGGCGTTAAAAGGGGAATTCTAGCTAAGGTTGATATGTATTTAACTATATTCACGCGGTCTTATCGTGAATACGGTAATGTATCTGCGTAAAATCTGGAAGGTTAAACTAGTTAAAAACGGAAAGGAAATCAAATAACATGATATTCTCCTAATTTAACTCAATGAACAAAAACTATTACTCATTAATCTGTATTCTTCCATACACGATTCAAAAAAAAAAAGTAGTGAAATCAAGAGCAACATCTGTTCGTAGTTCTTCCATTCAGTTCTCCTTTTTCTCTATTTGCAGATATCAATTCAACCACGGAAAATTAGATTGATACAAATTATATACAAAATACGGTATAGTTCCTTCATACATATGGCAAATTTAATAGTGTTGTTGCGTCATTCTGGCAAGTGGAACGATGAGTGCAATTACGTCGATTTTTCAATTGAGGGAATACTGATAAAAGAGTATGTGTCCTTTAATGATTTGGTTGCTTCAATTTCTAATCAACTGGGCATAGATTTGAGCTCAAAGTCCATTAAAATTCAATACAAAGTAGAAAGAAATTGCACGCCAATGGAAATACACAATGATATGGGTTACAGAGTGTATGTAGAGTTGAAAAAAGAGAACAGAGAATTCGGGATGTATCCTTTGTGCATAACAACTATTGAAAAAGAACTTGTATCTGAAGGTAGTTTAAATCAAGGCAACATTGTGCAAATAGACGAAGCAGTTCAAAGGTACGATTCCGATACAGATGATACACTGGCTCTAGATTTTGTCAATTCAGGAGAAGCAATTGGGGTGTTCAAACTGGACAAGGATTTGATAATTTCAAAAACTAATCAAAGGGAGGTTATGGCTGGACAAATGTATAATGATAAGGCTACATTGAAAGAGGTAATGGAGAATTATTCTATATCTCAAAGGTTTCAATTCCGGGTTGATAGGTCTAATGCTGTCAGGTTTGCATGTATTTTTTTTTTTGTATTTTCTATTATTGGTTCGAGCTGTAAGTTTAACGTTGTTGTATTTATGCGTATTTGTGGATTTCCTCTTGATTATCACTGATGTCGTTAACATATGTTTGTTTATGGTCCTTAAATACATGTATTCATATGTATTTTACTGGTATAATTACATTATAGTGTCTCTAATTATTTTCTTATTTTGTCTACTGTGGTTTTAAGTGTATGCATATACCCACAATTGTATTCAATTGTATTCATTGTATTTAAATGCATATAACTATAATTGAATTCAGTAGTATAAAAATTTATATATATAGATGTCAGAATGTATCTATGTCAGATTGTATTCGTGTGTATATGAGTGCATTTTTTTGTAAATATTTATGCTAATCATATGTACAATGATTAATTCTTTGCAGCTATGCATTATTATGTATTTCAGAATATTGTGAATGGAGGTTTAAGGCTTCAAGCTTTAACAAATTAGAACTATTCAAAGTGAGAGAGTTCATTGATAACCATACATGTCCGCTGAAGGACAAGGTGTATGAGCAGCGACAGGCAAGTAGCAGCCTTATAGGTGGTATGATTAGGCCTAAGCTTACTAATCATAAGAGGAAATACACCCCAAAGGATATTATTGATGATGTGAAATCAGATTTAGGTGTAGATGTTAGCGATATGTTGGCGTGGAGGGCTAAAGAAAAGGAAATGAATTTTTTGAGAGGTAAACCGGCTGATTCATACAAAAAATTACCAGGATACTTATATACAATGGATATGACATATCCAGGTTCCCACATCAGGATGGTAAAATCGCCCAAAAATGAATTCATGTACGTGTATATATCTTTGTATGCCTTTATAAAGGGGTTTGATCATTGTAGACCCATTGTTGTTGTGGATGGAAGTCACCTAAAATCTTACTACACCGGGACATTTGTTTCGGCAAGCACGTTGGATGGTGCAGGTGAGTACTTGAATTATAATACAATCTGTTAATATTTTAAAGATTGAAATACATGTTTTAAAAATATGTATTCAATTGTCTTTATAGGTCATATATTGCCACTAGCATATTGTGTTATTGATTCAGAGAACGATGTTGCTTGGACGTGGTTCTTTGAGCAATTCAAGATAGCATACGGTGACAGGGAAAACAAGTGCATCGTTTCAGATAGAAATGAGAGTATCATTAAATTTGTATCGAGAGTGTATCCAAATGTACCGCATTTTTCTTGTATATGGCATCTATGGAACAACGTATATAAGAAATTCAAAAAGAGCCATGCCAAGTTGAGCGAGATATACTTCTCGATGGCAAAAACATACATACAAGCTGAATTTGACAGTCTGATGGAGAAGGTGGAGAACGTAGATATTAGGGTGAAAGAATACTTAGAGTTAGCTGGATACAAAAAGTAGGCTAGGTTGTATGCCCCTGTTAACAGGGGATGGACAATGACATCAAATATTGCTGAGTCAATCAATGTCGCACTAGTGTCGGTAAGGGAATTGCCAATATACACCTTCCTCGAAGAAGTTAGGAAGATGTTTGGATGTTGGAATTGTAGTAACCGCAAAGAAGCTACACAAACATACACAATGCTTGGAAAAAAAATTCCAGGAGATGCTGACTTTGAATGAGGCAATGTCTACACGCATGACTGTAAGTTTTATTTTAATCATTATATTATATAGCTTAATTGTTTTCTGAAATAACTGACATGAATACATATGAATACAAACATTTTTTATAATACAACTGCCATAAATACATATGAATACAACTAAATTCAAACACATACAAGACATATTTTATCGAAGATCTGAATTGAATACAACTTAATACAACTAAAAACATGCTTCAAAACTATTCGAATACATCAGAATACAACTAACAAATCTGTATTATACATAATTTTAATATGTATTGTCATGCCGCAGCCTTCTAATGTTTTTGTTACACTTCAGTTGCCTAAAGTACAACCGATTTTTGATGTATGTAATAGTATTCATAAGATAAGACGTAATTATAGTTTATAGNTCTGATATGAATACAACTGAATACAACTAAAAACATGCTGCAAAAACTATTCGAATACATCAGAATACAACTAACAAATCTGTATTATACATAATTTTAATATGTATTGTCATGCCGTAGCCTTCTAATGTTTTTGTTACACTTCAGTTGCCTAAAGTACAACCGATTTTTGATGTATGTAATAGTATTCATAAGATAAGACGTAATTATAGTTTATAGTCTGCCGGTCTAAATATATGATGTATTCTTATGTATGCAAATATTTCAGTTGTATGTAACTGTGTAATTCAGCATTATACATATGGTAATTCAATTGTATGTTCTCAAAACTTATATTTCTATTTTTAAATGTAGGTGGTACCATCAACTGAATACTTACATACGGTTAACGATGGAGGGAGGCATTACACAGTCTGCCTGTTAGAGAGAAAATGTGTTGTGGGAGGTTCCAAGTTGATGAATTACCATGCTCATATGTTTGGGTTGTATTGAAGAGTAAGTTTCTAATGCCAGAAGAATATTGCTCTAACTATTACAAATCAAATACTGTTGTAATGACATACGATGTGCCTGTGTACCCGCTACCGGACAAAAATGATTAGAACATACCAGCACATGTTGCAGAGGGGGTTATACTACCACCCAAATGGAAAAGACCTCCTGGAAGGCCAAAGAAGAAGCGCGATAAATCTCTAAGTGAGTTGTTGCAGCCGAAAAATCAACATTCATGTAGCATATGTGGGCAGGGAGGACATAACAAGCGAATGTGTAGAAATGCTCCAGGTAGCATTTAGTTGACACTCTGATATGTATTGGTGCTTCAACGATTTGTCAATAATTATGATTCTCATTGTCAAGTAATAATTTCTAAAATGCCTTTCGTGAATAGATTCTGGATGCATTTAGTTGCAGTAATGTGTTGGATACATTAGAATACAACCTTGTCCACATATACTTTGACAATTTATTATAGACAGTGCCTGAGTTATATATATAACTAGTCAAAATACATCTGAATACAACTATATAGTCAGCTATATTATAAAAAATAGGTTGAATATATATAACATGATTAGATTCTGTATACAGTTAGTTGCAGTATTAATTTGAATACAGTCGAATACAACCTTGTCCACATATATTTAGACATACAATAATAGACAGTGTCTGAGTTCAATATAGATAACTAGTCAAAATACATCGAAATACATCTATATACTCAGCTATAATATAACAATTTCAATAAATACGTATAACTTGTTCAATACATCTGAATTTGTATCCTTTAATATGTATTAACTGAATTTGAAAGATACATATTAAAGAATACAACTGAATACAGCTGAATACAACTGAATATAGTTGAATACAGAAAAATACATTTGAATTCTTTAATATAACCTACCATCAGTATACATAAAGTTTCTGACTTTGATATTAACCTGTTCAATACGTATAACTTTTGATATTACTGATTATTAATACATACTTATATCCTGTAAGATACATATGAATATAAACTGAAGAATAAGCATTAATACTTATGAAGAAAACAATGAAACATCGATTGCAAAGTTGCAATTGTCATACACGAATACTGTTGATAAAGTGATGGTTTTTTCTAACTGAATACCATCTTCACCAAAAAAACTACTCAAAAAACAGTATTCACCTAAAAATAACATTCTAAAACTACATTAACCTAAAGCTACTCTAACATTATCTGCAACTTTGAATCTGACTACGTGATTTGCCTAGCAATATTTGAGGGTGCTTCATTCTCGCTTATGGAATCAACGTCAATCTTCCGCATAGCATAGTCTAATAGGAGAGCACCATATCTTTGACGGAGTAGATTAGAATCAAATATTGTTTGTGGAATCTCACCAAGAGTGCTCAGAAACTCTGCGTATGCCGTAACATGCACCCCACAATCCCTAAAAAATGTTGATTGAAACAATTAAAAATAATTCATACAATTATATTTGTATATAACATACAAGAATGTTGATTGAATACTTACATGCTCCCAGCTTTCTGTTGAGGCAGATCTGATATGAAAAAAACTTCAAAGGGATCAGTATGTGACTTGTCAGTGTATGATGAGTAAATAGACCAATCTACGCCTTGACTATCTCTGTAAAAGCCACTGATTTATAGATATAGAGGTACAAGCTTAGCTAGCTTATCTATCTCAGAAGCTACATAGGCATCATGACCTGCATATCTGTACGAGTCATACACTTTGATACATCTCTCCTTGAATGAGACAACAGCCAATACCCAGTGTAGTTTGTCCTTCAAGTTGACTGGTATCAAGACATTGTCAACAGTATGCCAAGGTACATTAGCTAGCAATCGGTATCCCCTTATGTACTCACATACCACATCCTCTTCTTTGGCTACATTAGCATTACTATCTGTATCAGCATACTTGTCGAAGATTTTAGCTATTCTTGTCTTGAATATACAATCGACAGTTGTATACTTGAAGTTGTTTGTTTGATTGTACTTTCCCTTCTTTCTCAGATAGTAGAATATGACGTCAATATTCTATACACAAATTTAATTACATAGTGTGAGTCCAATTAATCAAACTAAGAAAAAAAATATGACAAGTGAAGATTCAGTTAAATACATCACACGAATTAAAGAATAATATATCTGAATAGAGAAAAATACATCTGAATACGCTGTATTACAGCAGATATTCAAGAATAAATACCAATTGATGTTAAAATACAGAGTGTATGAATACAGTTAAAATTCAGCAGATATTACAACAGGTATTACAGCAAAAACTGTTAAAATATAGCAGATAATACTGTTCAAGATACTACAACAGATATTAAAGATATTACAACTACCCATTGATGTTAAAATACATCTGAATACATTCCAGCACATGTTGTTATTCAAAGCAAATGAGTCAGTTAAATACATATTACTGTGATACATATGGTAGTTACAACATATAATAAATTTGAAAATACATCAGAATACATTAAAATACAGCAGTTCTTCAGCAGTAATAATGCCATTACATTCATCATACAGATTCAATTTAAAACATAATACATTTTCAGGTAATAAAAATTGCTAGAATACACTTGAATATAATTAAATACAGCAGATTTAATTGTAACATTATTGTGAACTATACAACTAGAAAAACCAATACTAAATAAATAAATTATAGTGGAGTTGGAAGGGGTAAATCTTACGTTGTCATCCCATAGCTTTCCGTCAAACGATAGAAGGTAAAACCAATTTTTTGAATTAACTTGATCAACTCCAAAATCCAATGGTATATGAAGTGTTGACTTGTTCTTCTTGTAATGGTCTTCCAAATTACTTCTACAGGTATGATATAAAAAAATATTATATACATGTTTTAAAATATAAAAACTTAATACACATACCGGGAAAAAACTCACCTCTGATCATGCCTAGCGAAAAGACCATCACGAACTCATTTGTCATATTCCTGAATGATTAATGTAGGATGTGGCCTCGTTATTGAATCATCCTCAAAGGGGTGTCTTTTTTCAAAAATGAGGGTCAACTTTACTGAGGTACCTGTTGTTCATTGAATTCGTGAATAGAGACTTTTAATTTTAAAAACCATGAGGAAATAGATCATTAGTTTATAAAAACACTAACATGCGGAGTCGAAGTTAGACTCATAAGGCGAAGAATACCATCTACTTGGTTGTCGATTCCTATGAGATGGTACTGGGGTTGATTCAACTTTTTTGCACTGTTGTGTATCACAATTCTAGTTTCTGGAATTTGACTGGGAAGAAACTTGTCTTCCAGCTCAAATTGAGATACATAGAATTCTGTAGATACACCCTCTTGACCTATAGGTGGTATGTTGCACGGCACTTCTGATGTAGTATTCACCTCAACTCTTTACTCTACACATTGAGCATTAAGCACTATTTTCTGTTAGTCGTATGCATCATTGTTAGTGTAGTAACTTAGTGTATGAATACAGTTAAATACATATAAATACAGTAAGGAAACTGATTTTGGTAATGGAAATCTTAGTGAAATACATCACACATATTCAAGAATAACAAATCTGAATACATTAAAATACGGCTGAATACATTTAAATACAACAGTTAATTCCAACTACATATTAAGGTTAACATACATTTGAATACATTTAAATATATGTTGTTGGTCGAATACATCTAACATTTTAGTGAGGCAGTTAAATACTTGTCGAATACATACAAATTTTAAAATACAATTATTTAAGAATAATAGCAAACAGGAGATATAAACATATGCTAAAGATGTTAAAAATGTTAAACCTCAACATTATCCCCGACACCTGTGTCAATACCATCATCACGTCTCCCTATGG